AAGAAAAAAAGAAAAAACAAAAATAGAAGGATTACTTTCCAATTCATTCTATGAGGACAGTATTACCCTGATAACAAAGGAAAAAGACACAATAAAACTACAGATCAATACCCCTTATGAATATAGAAGGAAAATCTTCAACAAAATACTAGCAAACTAAATCCAGCAGCACAGAAGGATTGTACACCAAAACCAAGAGGAATTTATCCCAAGAAGGTAAGGTTGGTTCAACATACAAATATCAATCAATATAATACACCATATGAATAAATGAAGAAAATACATGATTAGTTCACTATACATAGAAAAAACATATGGCAAAATCCAAAACCCTTCCATGATAAAAAAAACACTCAACAAAATCAGAATAGAAGAGAACTTCTTCAACCTGATAAGGAGCATTTACTAAAACAAACAAACAAACAAACAAACAAAAAACCCACAGTTAACATCATGCTTAATGACCAGAAAGCCTTCTCCCTAAAAATCAGGAACAAGACAAGGATATTGATTCTTGCTACTTCTATTTAATACAGTACTGGAGGTTCTATAGCAAGGGTAGTTAGGCAACAAAGAAATAAATGACTTAAGATTGGAAAAAAGAAGGAAAACTATCTCTATTTGCAGATAACACAATATTCTATATAGAAACCCTAAGGAACACACAAACACATGTACACAAACACAAATTATTTGAGTTTATAAACCAGTTTAGCAAGCTTGCAGGATCCAAGATAAATTTAAAAAAAAAACCCCACAGTATTCTTGTATACTATTTTTGTATACTAATAAGGAAAATCTCAAAATGAACTTAAGAAAACAATACTAGTTACAGTGGTATTAAAAAGAATAAATATTTAGGGATACTTTTAACGAAAGAAGTGCCAAATTTCAAAGAAGCAAAAAATATGAACATCATTGAAAGAAATTAAAGATGATCTAAATAAACAGAAAGATATCCAGTGTTCATGGATTAGATTTAATATTGTTAAGATGGCAATACTCCCTAAACTTATCTACAGATTCAATGCAATCCCTAAGATTCAAGTTGTCTTTTCTTCTCTTTTGGTGAGGGAGAGGGCTGGAAACTGACAAGCTGATCTGAAAATTCCTATGGCTCAAGATAGCTAAAACAGTCTTGAAATAAGAAAAAACAAAGTTGGAGGTCTTACCCTAACTAGACAGTATGATACTGGCATAAAGAGAGACATATAGGTCAACAAAATAGGATTAAGAGTCCAGAAAAAAAAAACCCTTACATTTATGATCAACTGCTTTTTGCCAAGGGCACCAAAACAACTTGACAGAGGAAACAATAGTCTGTGCAGCAAATGGTACTAAGACAACTGGACATCCACAGGCAAAAGAGTGAAACTATACTACCTCACATCACATACAAAAATTCACTCAATTGTGTGCGGTTGGTGAGATAGTAAAATGGTGCAGCTGCTGTGGAAAACAGTAGTATGATGGTTCCTCGAATAATTAAAAACATAAAAACATGATTCAGCCATTCCACTTCTGGATATGTACACCCCCAAAACTGAAAACTTAGTCTTGAACAGATATTTGTACACTTAAGCTCACAGCATCATTCATAATGGTCTAAAGCTGGAAGCACGAGTGTCTATTGATGGGTAAATGAATTAGCAAAATGTGGTATACACACATCTTAAAAAGGAAAACAATCCTGTCAGATGGTACAATATGGATGAGCCCTGAAGACATTATGCTAAGTGAAATACACTTGTTACTAAAAGACTAATATATCAATAAAACTGGAAGAAAAATTAATATAATACATAGAATTTACAAGAGGAAATGGTTAAGATAATAAATTTTGTTGTGTGTATATTATCACAATAAAAATTTAAAAATAATGAAGAGATTCAAATACTTAGGAATAAATTTAAGCAAGAAGGTATAAGACTGGTACCCTGCAAATTACAAAACATTGCTGGAAGAAATTAAAGACCTAAATAAATTGAAAGACTGTGTTCATGGATTGGAAGACAATATTGTTAAGATGGCAATAAACCCCAAAGCAAGCTACATATTAAATGCAATTAATATCAAAATCTCAATGACGTTTTCAGTGGAAATGAAAAAGCTGATTCTAAAATTTATATAAAGACACAAGGGCCCTGATTGGCCAAAAGAGCCTCTTAAAAAAAACAAAGTTGGAAAACTTGTACTTCTCAATTTTAAAACTTACAAGGTTACAGTAATCAAAACAGTGCAGTAATGGCATATAGATAGGCATGCAGATCAAAGGAACAGAATTGAGAGCCCAGAAATAAACCCTCATATCTATGTTCCACTGATTTTTGACAAGGATGCCAGGACCACTCAATGGGGAGAGAATAGTCTCTTCACTAACTGGTGTTGGGACAACTGGATATCCATGTGGAAAGGAATGATGTTTGACCCCATCACATACTATATACAAAAATGAACTCAATATACATCCAAGATGCAAATAAAAGAACTAGTAGTATAAAACTCTTGAAAGAAAATATAGGGACAAATCTTCATGGCTTTGGATTTTGGCAATGGTTTCTTAGATATGACACCAAAAGCACAAGCAACAAAAGAAAAAATAGATACACTGGGACTTCCTCAAAAGTGAACTGCTGTGCCTCAAAGAACAGCAGTGAGTGAAAAGACAACCCAGAAAGTGGGAGCAAATATTTGCAAATTACACATTTGATAAGGTTCCACAATCCAGAATATATAAAGAACTCTTAGAACTCAAAAACAAAAAGACAAATAAAATAATTAAAAAGTGGACAAAGACTTGAACAGACATTTCTCCAAAGATATAAAAATGCCCAATAAGCATATGAGGAGATGCTTAACATCATCAATCATTAGAAAGGCAAAACCAACCACAATCAAAATGACAATGTGTGTGAGGTACCACTTTGTATCTATTAGGACGGCAAAAATAAATAAATAAATAAATATATACATACATACACTTTAAAAAGTGTTAGTGAACGTGGAGAAACTGGAACTCTCAGACATTGTTGGTGGGAATGTAAAATGGCGTAGCCACTGTGGAAGACAGTCTGGCAGTTCCTGAATATGCTTAAAATAAAATTACCATATGATCCAGTATTTCTATTCCTACGTATATACCCAAAAGAACTGTATGCAGGTGTTCAAATAAAAGCTTGTACACAAATGTTCCTATCAGCTCTATTCACAATAGCTGAAAGGTGGACACATTCCAAAAGGCCATGAATGGATGAATAAATTAAAAATGTAGTCTAAAATTATAATGGAATATTATTTAGCCATAAAAAGCAATGATGCTAGGACATGGATATATCTCAAAAATATTATTCTAGAGTGAAAGAAGCCTGACACAAAGGTTACACATTATATGATTCAACTTATACGAAATAACTAGAATAGGCAAGTTCACAGAGGCAGAAAGAAGACTAGCAGGTGTCAGAGGCTGGTAGGAAGGGGGAATAGAGAGTGACTACTTAATGGGTATGAGGTTTCCACTGGGGTGATAAAGAAGTTCTGGGACTAGACAGTGGTGATAGTTATAAAGCAGTGTGAATATACTTCGTGCCACTGAATTGTACACTTTCAAATGACAAAACTATAAACTTTATGTTATGTGTATATATTTTGCCACACACCCCGAAAAACTCTCTATCTGCATCCTTCCCCCCATCTCCTCTATGGAACAAAAAGCCTCAATCTGTGTCATTCTCAAGTCTTCATTTACTTTTAAAAAAAATTCATACTGTCCTATATATATATTTAATCACTGTCACTTAATACCTACCAAAAACTCAATTATGAGAAATAATACCAGTGCAAGTTGTCTGCATGTCTTGTGCCTCCTTTCCTCTAGATTAGTGGTCTCCAAATTGTCTCGATCATGGGGTCCTACTGCTAAAATATTTTTGAGCCCAAATTATCAAAATAGATATTTAATTATAAGTTACATATTACTGCTATACTCATAGATTGTAAAACACATACAAAAGTATAGTGGGGAGGGTAAAGCTCAGTGGTAGAGTGCATGCTTAGCATGTGTGAGGTCCTGAGTTCAATCCCCAGTATCTCCACTAAAAAAAATACATATACAAAAATTTAAACTTAAAAATTATTGACCCCTTGGGATCTACCTTTATGGAATTTCCTAATCTAAGCCTTATATTAGCCTTATATGGGCACTGTTACCTAGAACACATTTTAAGGATGCTGTTGAAGACTCTGTTACACGATAGTGCCTTCTTTATGAGGACAAATGAAATTTTCTTAGGTCTTAGTACCAGAAATATCTGTAATGCTTTTGAAAACTTAGTTTGTTTTTATATTACAGAATTTGTGTAATTAATCACAAAGTTCTAGCAACATTAACTGCTAGGAGACATAAAGCAAAATTTGTGGCTCACTTTTACCAACCATATCCACAAAGTATCAACTTGTCTTCCCGTTACTCTTAATTCTTCACTTATTTATTTTTAAAATCATGTTGTAGCTGACCTCTCTCTGGCTTCAATTTAATTTTCTAACATTCCAATTCTTTACTTACTTGAAAAAAATCATATAGTATTACTTATTTACTTATGTGTGTTATGTGTGTGTGCTTAAAAGCATCTCAAAATTTCTTAAAAGACAGACAGGAATGAATAAACAAAAGCCAAAACAGAGGAAAAAAACAGGTAATATTGTTCAGAATGGAGGTCATTCTAAACTCTAAGCTCCCAGGTCCCAAGGGTATACTTTGCAGATGCTGAAGCATTTGACACCAAAGCCTTTCATCCAAAGAATAATTCGTAAATGAGTTTGACGAAAGAAATGACAACTCACAAGAGCGCTGTACTACACTTTCTCACTCTTTTCTAGTTGGTAAGAAATGTTACAGTGAGGAAAGGGCAATTGGCTTTTTTTTTTTACCTGTGTGCAAAGCTTAACTAAAAAGTCCATGAAAAAGGAAGTCACACTGCCAGATGGAATTTGTAGCCATGTACCTGGATGTGCTTCCTTCTGGTGTGCTCGGAAGTAATTTGGGGGATAACCTGTATTCAGTGCTTTCTTGTATTTCTTGCTGTGCTTCTCAAGGTATCTCCTCTGATGGTCAGTGATGCTGCTGTATAGTTTAGTTCGCCTGGGTGACAGACAAACTCTTTCATGGCCAAAAGCATGGATCAATCGGGCAGTGTCAATGGTGGAAACAGAGCTGCTCCTCTCATGCAAAGCCAACTCCTTATCTGTTTGGGTCAATATATCTGATTCCACAGGAGAAGTGGTGGTGGAAAGGATGTTGGTGGTGGTATCTGTGAACAGATCACTCTCCTCCGAGGGTCTAGAATCTGAAGAAGTGTTATTTAAATTACAATGAAAACCTGGCTGTTTTCTCAGAATATATTTATCAAATTTAATCTGTTCAATTTTAATCTGATTGGACCTCTCAGCTTGATGGGTAGAAAGCACCTTGCTTCTTTTAAGATCACCTGTGTTTTTATGGCATTTCTCCAGGCTTTTATACCGTTTCTTTTTCTGAAGCTTGTGTTTCTGCTGTTGCTGTCTACCAGTCCATCCCTTAACATCTTGTTCCTCTCTGCTCTCATCCTGTGTACTTTCTGAGGGCTGGAGAGAGTATGTGATGGGATGCTGAAGAAGCTTAGCCAAACGATCAAGTCGTTCCACCAACGAGAGTTCTTTCTTGCCACTGGCAGGAGGTTTCTGTTGCCTCTGTCGCTCCTGAAACTTGTTCCAGAGTTCATTCAAACTCACAGGGCGCTGAGTGGTTAGCTGTGGGCTGGCCTTATCATCCTCTTTTGGATCACCAACTTGCTTGTCACTTTTTGGATAATCTCTAGCCTGACTTTTAGTAGTATGCTTCACTTCTTTGTTTTCCAAGTTTACATTGATACTGAGGCTCTCTACTCTGGTATAATCTGTCTTTGTCTTTTCCACATTTTGATAAGGGGGAGGAAGATAAGTGTGTTCCCTTTGTTTGTCTGAATGATGCTGAAATAAATCTTTCCAAGAATGTCTCATGAAAACACTCCTTCCTAAGGATTCATGGCAAAAATCTTGATCACTTGGTAGGTGCACTGGATGATGAAAGTAAAACTTAGCTGACTTGAAGACAGAATGGGTAGTATTTTCATACTCTGAATGACGTCTGGACTCTGAAAAGGAGAAAAAAAAAGATTTTTGAAGGTCTTTCAAAATATTTGCATTCTCCTTAAAAACAGTATTCACATTTAATTCTTTTAGATACAGAACAAAGATTGAAGGAAAGAACAGTTTATATAAAGTTTCAGAAAATTCACTGCATGCAAAAAGAATTCATGCCTTGTACCTAGTGGCCAGATTGGCCTGATAATAGTTTAAGAGACTCAGGGTGAAAAGATCTGGGTTCTGGGCTGGACTCTCCCAGAGACTTGCTGTGTGACCCTGAGGAGGGCACTTTAGTTCTCTGGATTGTACAGCTGCTGCTGTGTATTCACTGCTTGCTATGTGTGGAGTATTATGATATATGCTCTATATCTGTTTTTTTTTTAAACTTCTAATTCAATCTCATGGATAAAACTGAGAGATAGGTTATTATTAACCTCATTTTCAGCTAGGAAACCTGAGACTTCATTTTTATCATCAGTAATTAAATGGATATGATTAAAAAAAAACAACTCTTTACATGTTTTAGAGCTTTTAAAAATTCCTTTTTGTGAACCATCTTCACATTTCCTCCCACCTCCAACTTCCTAATTTTTTTATAGTGGTAAAATACACCTAACATAAAATTTACCATCTTTCACTTTCACATTTTGACATTCATTATCCTATACCAAAATAGGCATTTTTTTAGATGCAGAACATCTTGCAATCATAAACCCTAATTGTAAACACTAATGTGGTTTCAGTAAACATTTCTGAAGTTCTAAGTCATAGTAAAAATAAAGACATACACATGCAACAAGATATTATTTGTAACTATGGGATCCTTTCTATTTCCTTTATAGATTATTGGTAATCAGAGTTTTCACTAAATATTCTGGGAATCCCTAAGACAATTTCCATGTGGGATACATGGAATCTGCTGTTATATCTAACGTATGAAAAGACTGTCAAACCTCCCAACAAACAAAAGTCCAGGACCAGGTGGTTTCACTGGTGAATTCTACCAAACATTTAAGAGTAATTAATATGAAAGCTCAAATTCTCCCACACACACAAAAAAAAAACAGGAGAGAACACTTCCAAACTTATTTTACAAGGCCAGCATAACCCTGAGACCCAGACAAGGGGGCTGTAAGAAAAGAAAATTACAAGCCAATATCCCTGATGAACATAGATGCAAAAAATCCTCAACAAAATATTAACAAACCAAATTCAACAATATATTAAAAAGATTATATACACTGTGATCAAGTGGAATTTATTCCAAGGATGCAAGAATGGTTCAACACCTGCAAACCAATGTGATACATGCCATTAAAAAACATAAAGGACAAAAATCATATGATCATCTCAACAGATACAGAAAAAGCATTTGACAAAATTCAACATCCATTCATGATAAAAACTCTCAACAAAGTAGGTATAGAGGGAACATAGCTCAACATAATTCTACTTCTGGGTCTGTACACAAAAGAACTGAAAGCAGGATCCTGAAGAGGTATTTGGACAACCGTGTTCATTTCAGCTTTATTTAAAATTGCCAAGACATGAGAACAACCTAAGTGTTCATTGATGGATGAATGAAGAAAATATGGTGTGTGTATATATATGTGTGTATATATGTATATGTATATGTGTATATATTATACACACACACACACATACACAATGGGATATTATTCAGCCATAAAAAGAAGGAAATTCTGCCATTTGTGACAACATAGATGTACCTTGAAGACATTATGTTATGTGAAATAAGACAGAGAAAGACAAATACTGTAAGAAATCACTTACATGTGGAATCTAAAAGTAAAAAGCCAAAACTGAACTCATAGATATAGAAAACAGGTTGTGGTGGTCAGAGGCAGGGATGGGGTATCGGTGTGTAAAATGGATGAAGGTGGTCAAAAGTTACAAACTTCCAGTTTTAAGATGAATAAATCTTGGGAATGTAACATACAGCATGGTGACTATATTTAAAAATATTGTATTGCATATTTGAAAGTTGCTAAGAGTAGATCTTAAAAATTCCTATCACAAGAGAAAAACTGTAACGATGTGTGGTGAGAGATGTTAACTAAACTTAATTGTGTTAACCATTTCAGTGTATATGTGTATCAAATCATTATGCTGTACACCTAAAACTAATATAATGTTACATGACAAATATAACTCAATTAAAAAAAGACTCTACAATTTAAGAATTATCTAGCAACCTGTAAAAATTGGGAGATTTTGCTTAGTTTCTGTAGGTACTTGAGATGGTAACTATATAATTAGAAACTGTACTAAGGGCTATGTAGGATGAAAACAAAGTGATGTAAGAGTAACTTAAATGGGAAATGGTAGTTAGAGAAGGCTTCTCTGACGAGGCTGAAGTATGAAATAAAAATGAGAGCTAAACCAAAAAGAGCAGCAGGTGAAAAACATTCTGGGCAGAGAGATGTAGGGAACCCTAATGCCACACTGCCAGTCCACCTGCACCTACAACCTTTTCAGATGCAGTAGTAGAACTAACCCACTTCCTTTTAAAGGCAAGTCCCCCCACTAGCGCTGTGGAGCCCAACTCATCTTCCTTTCAAGATCTTGATTTCATTCCCTAGCATATCTCTCTTATTCCTTCAGGCTCTCTCTCTTTCCTGTATCATTTCCAACATCTTGAAAGCATCACTTAGTATATCATATCCTTAGAAAATCCACATATCTTCTTTCTTTGCTCCTCTTCACAGCCAAGTTTCTAAAGAGAAAAATGTATTTTTTCTTTTCTTTATGTGTTACCTACTCCAAATCACTTTTTCAACCAGAGGATAGCCATATAACTAGACTAAAACTACTATTGCTAAGATGATCAATGACCCAATGTGTGGCCAGTTCCTGAGAATGTTCCCATTCTATATTCTCTTTCTAGGTGACCTCAACCCTCCCTGTGGATTTAGTACCATCTTTATACTGTTAACTCACATGAAACTTTATGCTCTCAACTTTGTATTTCAAGCTATGACTTCTCTCTTGAGCTCCAGATTCATATTCAACTACATAATTGATATACACTTGGATCCCATAGCCATCTCAAATTTTAAATGTCCCTAAATGAACTCTATTCTACCCTCCTCTCAAATTGTACCTCTCTCAATCATCTGCATCTCTGAAAATGGCACACACTCAAACCCAAACAGAAACCTGGGAGTTTTTCTTGATACTTTCATCTCCCACAACTTTCTGTTCTTTCCATTAATCCCTCACCTAACAACCATGCATCTGTCCACTTCTATTTCCTCCCACAATTCTTCATGTCCATTCTTGTCCCCTTCCAATCTATTTTTCAAGTAGTGGTCAAAGTAATCTTTTAAAAATGTAAATTGGCCCTCTCATTTTTCTATTTAACAACTTTCAGCGGCTTTCTCTTATACTTATAACAAAATCCAGGCTCCTTAACAAGGTATACAAGTACTATATCACTCTCCTACTTCACCACGCATCACTCTCCTCCTTGATAATTATACTCCAATCATGCTGGTCTTTCCTCCCACTCCATCATTTGCTCATTGCATGAGCAAAGGCATAAAAGTGGGAAAGCACTGAGCAAATAAGTGAGTATAAACATTTAGTTTGTGTAGCTTATGTAACTTATAAAGCAGAGAGAGTAGAGGAAAATAAGCCAGGAAAGGTAAGTTATTTGATACTAACAGAACAGAACACAGAGCCCAGAAATAAATCAACTAATCTTCAACAAGCATGCCTAGAATACACAGTGGGAAAATAACAAATGGTTTCAAATGGTGTTGAAAAACTGGATATTCACATGCAAAAGAATGAAGTGGACCCATATCTTACACCATACACACAAGTCAACTCAGAATGGATCAGAGACTTATATGGAAGATCTGCAAAACTTCTAGGAGAAAACAGGGGAAAAGCTCAAGACATTAGTCTTAGGAATGGTTTCATGGACATGACACGAAAAATACAGGCAACAACAACAAAAATAAACAAGTGGGATTACATTAAACTAAAAAGCTTCTATACAGCAAAAGAAATAATCAAGAAAGTGAAAGGACAACCTATGGAATGAGAGAGACAATTCAACAACAAAAGTTGGGAGACTTCAAAACTGCATAATAATGAATAGAACTAGACACAGATTAATAAGGAAACAGAAAACTTGAACACTATAAAGCAGCTAGACCTAACAGACATCTGTAAAACATTCCACCCAACAACAAAAATATATATTCTTCTAAAGTACATATAGAATATATTTGCCAAGACAGATCAAACGTTGGGCCATAAAACAAACCTCAATAAATTTAAAATGACAGAAATAAGACGAAGTATGTTCTCTAATCACAACAGAATGAAATTAGCAATCAACAGCAGAATAAAATTTGGGAAACTCAAATATGTGAAAACTATACAAAACATTCCTAAATAATTTATAGGTTAAAGAAGAAATCAAAAGAGAACACATAAAATACTATGTAATGAATGACAAAGTTATAGGGACGCAGCTAAAGTTTAGCGGGAAATCCATACTTGTAAACACTTATATCAAGAAAGAAGAAAGATTTCAAGTAAAGAAATCTAAGCTTCTACCTTAAGACATTGGAAAAAGGACAAACTAAAACTAGAGCAAGCAGAAAAAAGGAAATCATAAAGATCAGAGTGGAAATTAATAGAATTTAGAAAAATTTTAAAAACAGAGAAATAATTGAAACCAAAAGCTAGTTCTTTAAAAAGAGCAACAAAACTGATAAACTTTTAGCTAGACTGACCAAGAAAAAAATAAGTCACATCAATAAATAAATTTTATTTACAGAAATGAGAAGGATTATAAAGGACTACTATGAACTATATATGCCAAAAAACTAGATAATGTTGATAAAATGGACAGATTCTATTCCTAGAAAGCCACAAACTGCTGAAACTATCTGAAGAAGTAACAGGCAATCTGAAAAGACCTAAAACAAGTGAAGAGTATGAATTAGTAATAACAAAATTACCTATAAAGAAAAGTCCAGGCCCAGATGGCTTCACCCATGAATTCTACCAAACATTTAAAGAATTAATACTAATTTTCCATAAGTTCTTCTAAAAAGCAAAGAGAAAGGAACACTTTCTAATTCATTTTATGAGGCCAGTGTTATCCTGATAACAGGACAAGAAGGACATTACAAGAAAACTACGGGACAATATTTCTTATAGATAGGGACACAAAATTTCTCAACAAAATACTAGCAAATTAAATCCAGCAACATATAAAAAGAATTATACACCATGACCAAGTGGGATTTACCCACAAGTGCAAGGCTGATTCAACATCCAAAGATCAACCAATAGGATAAAAAATAAAACTCACTTGATCATCTCAAAAGACCCAGAATAAGCATTTGACAAACTCCAACCCCTTTCTTGATTAAAAACAGCAAAATAGGACTAGAGGGGAACTTCAATTTGGTAAAGGGCATCTATGAAAAATTCACAGCTAAAATCATTCTCAATTATGAAAGAGAGAATGCCTGCCCCCTAGACTGGAACAAGGATGTTTGTTCTTGCCACTATATTCAACACTGCACTTGAGGTGCTAGTCAGGGCAATTATGGGAAAGAAAAAAAAAAACAAAAGGGCATGGAGATTTCAAAGGAAGAGGAAAAACTATGTTCACAGATGACAAGATCTTGTATCTACAAAATTCTAAGGAATACATTAAAAATCTATTAAAACTAATAAGCGAATTCAGCATGGTTGCAGGATAAAAGTTAAATATAAAAATTGTATTATTATATACTTGCAATTAACAAACTAAAATGAAATTAAGAGAACCATTCTGTTCATGATAGCATCAAAAATTTTTTAAAATTAATGTAAATTTAACCAAAAAAGTACAAAACTTACTCTTTGAAAACTACAAAACATTATGGAAAGAAATTAAAGATCTAAATAAATGAAAAAAATCTCCTGCTTATGGATTAGAAGATTTAACATTGTTAAGGCAATCATCACCAAACTGATTGAACACAATCCCTGTCAGAATTCTAGCTTATTTCTTAGTAGAAATTGCCAAGCTGATTCCAAATTAATATGGAATTGTAAGAGACCCAGAATAGCTAATACACTCCTGAAAAATAAGATAAAGTTGGAGGACTCACACTTCCCAATTTCAAAACTTACTACAAAGCAACAGTAATGCATCAACCTCGTTATTTGCATTATTCCCAGATAGTTTTCTAACTTTTCTTTTTTTTAAATTTCATTTTTGTGGTTTGTCATGGGCTAAGTATGTGTTCAAGCTCTCTACTGTTCTGTATAATGCATTTCTCCTTGAAGATTCTCTAGGGTTTTTGATTCGTTTATGGCCTGTTTTGTATTTTCCCCCCAACAAGCAAATTTCCCTCTCCCTGCTTACGCACCTACTGCTTAACAATATATCAAGCACTGTTTTCATATAATTCTGTATCTTCATTCTTTTCTAAGACAACAATAAACTTCCTTCTTGATAGTGCTCCCAGTTTGTTTTATTTTTAATGCCTTTTCATGTTTAAAGATTTATGTTATAGCCTCACTATGGTTTTGCAAATCTGCATAAAAATATTCCTCCTTAATTCCTGCAATACTTTTTGTGTAGAATTTATTCTTATTTATATTAATATCATGCCTCCAAATCTCTTTTTGATATGTCCCTGGTTTTCCTTTCAACTTTCCTGTCATTTTAGTTTCAGGGTGTTGGCTATACTGTGTCGAACTCGTTTGATTTTTAACCTAACCTGAGAAGTTTTTTTAGTAGGTGAATTTATTCCATATATGCGTATTTTTATTTTATTTTATTTTTAAATTTTTATTTATTTATTTTAAATTTTTTTGTTGAGGGGAGAAGTAACTACTTATTTACTTTGAGAGGAGGTGCTGGGGATTGAACCCAGGACCTCGCGCACGCTAAGCACGTGCTCTACCACTTGAGCTATACCCTCCCCGCCATACATGTTTATTTGTATAGTCTTATATGCTCTATGTATTCTATATATGTTCTATATAAAGAATATAGTCTATATATGCTCTCATTTATGGTATTTTTCTTTTGTTACAAATTCACTTCTCCCACCACCCTCCTGCGATTCCTATCTTTTCTCTAAATATTTTGGATATTTCACAGTTTGATTTTAGCTCTTAAGAGGTAACTTTGTATTTTAAACACTATACTTACACATGTATTTCTTGATTTATCAATTTTAAGGATGGAATTAGCTCACTTGTATTTCCTTAAGCCTCCCTTTTCTCTGCATGTCCCCCTGCTGATCTTTCTTTCTGCTTTTTCCCTTTTCTTTTCTGTGTGGATGCCTGTACAATCTTCTCTTTTTCTTTGAAGTTCAGTACTGTCACCAACAAACGTCTGGGTGTTGATTATTATTTTTTTGGGGGGGCTTGTTGATTATTACATGTAAAGTTTCCCAGGATTTGGTATGTCCTTTTAAATTGCAGGCTCAGTTTTCTTTATACATCTTATTTTTTTGTTGATGTTACCTTCTTCAGAGATATCAGCAGACATCATTGTGTTGGATTTTCACTGTCCATCCTCAAACTATTTTTTCTGATTGTTTTCATCTCCTTCTTCTCTTAATGGGTACAATTTCCCCCTTCAATTTGTTCTCTGATCCCTTAAATATCTATTTACATGTCATTATTAGCTTAACTTTTAATACACTACATGTCTTCTATAATTATTCAGAGGGCAAAACATTTAAGAAACATTTTCTTCTGTCTTCTAGAATATGCTTTTGCAAATTATATTTCCATCTTTCCTTTACAAGCTATGTCTCCTACACTACCCATTGCAGAGCTGCAATGTTCTGTTTTTTCATCTTATACATTCGTCTTTAATTGTGATAAAACACACGTAAGATTAAATCTACCATCATAACCATTTTTAAGTGTACCGTTCAGTAGTTATGTCTGTTCACACTGTTGTATAATAGATCTCTAGAATATCTTCATCTTGTAACACTGAAACTATATCCACAAAACACTAATTCTCCTTCCCTTCTCTCCTCAGCCCTTGGCAATGACTTTTCTGCTTTGTTTCTATGATTTTCACTACTTTAGATACTTCATATAGGTGGAATATACAGTATTTGCCTTTTTGTGACTGGCTTATTTCACTTAGCACAATGTTCTTGAGGTTTGCCTATACTATAGCATGTGACAGAATTTTCTTCTTTTTTAAGGTTGCCTAATATTCTATTGTATGTATATACATTTTCTTTATCCATTCACCTGTTGATGGACATGTGGGTTGTTTCCGTATCTTGATTACTGTGAGTAATGCTGCAGTGAACATGGGTCTGCCGATATCTCTGAGATACTGTTTTGAATTCTTTTGGATATATACCCAAAAGTGGGCTTGCTCGGTCATGTGGTCATTCTATTTTTAATTTTTTGAGGAACCTCCATACTGTTTTCCATAATGGCTGTACCATTTTATATATCCACCAATAGTGCACAAGAGTGCTAATTTCTCTGCATCCTTGCCAACAATTGTTATTCTCTGTTCTTTTGATACTACCTATCTCACTGTGGTTTTGATTTGTATTTCTCTGATGATTAGTGATATTAAGCATCTTTTCACATGCTTGTTAACCATCCATATATATGCATATTCTTTGGAAAACTGTTTATTTGAGTTCTTTACCTATTTATTGAGTTATATAGTCAGTTTACAATATTGTGTCAATTTCTGGTCTATAGCACAATTTTTCAGTCATACATGAATATACATATATTCATTTTCATATTTTTTCACCATAAGCCTCTACAAGCTTACCTATTTTTAAATTGGATTTTGTTGTTGTTGTTGAGTTATAGACGTTCCATATATAATCTGGGTATTAACCACTTATCATGATTTGCAAATATTTTCTCTTATTCGACAGGTTGTCTTTTCACTCTGTTTAATGTGTCCTTTGATGCACAGTTTTAAATTTTAATATAGTATAATTTATTTATTTTTGCTTTTGTTGCAAGTATTTTTGGTGTCATATCTAAGAAATCATTGCCAAATCCAACGTCACAAGGCTTTTCACCTATGTTTTCTTCTAAGTGTTTTACAATTTCAGCTCTTATGTTTGAATCTCTGATCCATTTGAGTAAATTCTGTACAAGGTAAGAAGGAATGGTCCAAATTCATTCTTTTGCATGTGGATATCCAATTTTCCAACATTTGTTTAAGAGATTGTTCTTTCCCCAGCATGCATTCTTGGAGCCCTTGTGGAAAATCATTCATCTAATATATTCTTGATGTGAGCAACTGCAACTGAACTATTTTAAAAACACAATATGGATAGATAAGGTCTTTAATGACTTTCTTTTCTTATCTGGCTACTCATCTATATTTCTCTAAGAGGTTAAGGTTTGACAGTTAGGTAGCAATGGCTTGTGTCCTACACGCTTTTATGTTATTAGAAAAAGGGGGCCATAGATAAACATAAATAGATTTGATCTCAGGTCTTTTTAACCGTAATTTTTAAAAAGTTTAATGTTTGAGGCTCTTTCTGTTTTTGTCATAGCCTTCTGGAATGTTTTAAACTTTCCCGTTTCAGAATTGATACTGATACTTCCCTTCTAATACCATCAGTCTCAGGTATTTATCTGTAATTTTATTTCTAAGTTGTCAATATCTTTTCTAAGAAGAATAATTATTGCATAAGTCAATATGTATATCCACATAGACAGAGTAGCACTGATCTGCATAAAAATGCAAAAACAATTTTAAAAATGGAGCCCTGTTTAAATTATGAAGTTATAGTCTTATCAGAATTAAGTGGAAACACAGACATAGATGTTTGAGCTCCCCACCCCACATGAGCCCCCCCCCTCAACCCCATTACCTGCATTATCTATCTGTAAGGATTCCTTATCTTTTGGCCAGGCTTCCTTAGGAACTGTCCTCTTACTTTGGATCTCCTCTTTCTGTTCAATGGCTTTGGTGTCTGGTATGTTACCAGTCTTCATGTCTTGTAATTGAGCTGAGAGCTCTGAGACAGTAGCATCACTGGAAACTAAGAGAAAGAAATTAATACAATATTCAGACAGGCAGTTGACAGAAATTATTTTAAAATACTTCTCAAGTATCTACCAGAGAAAGGCATTGTTTCTGGTGTTGAAGAAAAAATTAAAAAGACCAATCAGAAATCTATTTAGAAATTGTTGATCTACACTGGAATTAAAAAAAAATGTACAAAAACAGATTTCACATAAAGTAAAAGAATTACATTGTAAGAGAAAGTCACATAAAGAAGTATAAATACTCAAAGGAGGAGAAAGCCCTTCTAGCTGGGAGAATCGTGGAAGAACTCTGGAGTAAAGCAACAACTGATCTGGGGATGAGAAGACAGTTAAGAGGGATACACATGGAAATGGAAAGAGAAAGGCATCTGAGGCAAAGTTGACTGCATAAGAAAAAACTGAGTCAGGAAAGCAAATAAACATTTAGGAAACAGAGCAAGTATGTGGTTTATTTGATTATAGAACACATAAGGAAAACATGAAAACTAGTATTTGAAAATTTTGGGAGCCAATTCTACTATTCTGAAAGACTAGGCTAAAACAGTTTAGATCTTATTCTTAATAAGGGCAATGAAAACTTTTTGATGTGATCAACATGATCAAAACTTTTTCTGAAGTATTCATTTAGCAACAGCAAAAAAGGAGGTGAAATTTTCAAGTGTTGCCCAGAATATGATTAACTTTTGAAAAAAAAAAAAGCAATACACAGAAAAAGAGAAGTGGCTAATTATGCTCCACAACTGTGGCAGAGACAATGAGCTGTCCTCCAAAATCCATTTTCCTTTTCCTTTAAAACAGAACCTGGGCATATGGTTACCAGAGTACAGATTACATTTCCCAGCCTCCCTGGCAACACAGGTTTATGTGACCATGTTAACTAAGCCTGGCCAATAGGATGGAAGGGGAATGACACATTTAAATATTAAAAGTATTTAAAGAAAGGAATATGCTTTTTTTCTTTCCATTTCTTCCCTTCTACTGGCTGGAATATGGGCCTGATGGCTACAGCATGAGAATGGAGGCAAAACATTGGAGCAACAAGGAAAGAGCTTTGATACTCTTTTTCGTCTTCTTTAAGCCAATGTTATTTTGCTTTTGTTTTCATCTCTCAGAGACAAATTAATCCTAACTTAAACACACCTTTATAGGTATTTTTAATCTGTATATATATATATATTTTTTCATTGAAGTACAGTCAGTTTACAATGTTGTGTCAGTTTCTGGTGTACAGCATATGCTTTAGGCATACACGAACATACATACATTTTTTCATATTTTTTCATCATAAGTTACTACATGATACTGAATACAGTTCCCTGTGCTATACAATATGAACTTGTTGTTTATCTATTTTAGATATATTAGTTAGTATCTACAAATCTCGAACTCCCAATTTATCCTTTTCTACCCTTTTCCCCACCAATAACCGTAAGTTTGTTTTCTATGTCTGTCTTTCCGTTTTGTAAGTAAGTTTGTCTTTTTTTTTATAGGATTCCACATGTAAGTGATATCATATAGTATTCTTCTTTCTCCTTTTGGCTTACTTTACTTAGAATAACAATCTCCAGGTCCATGCATATTGCTGCAAACGACATTATTTTATTCTTTTTTATGGCCGAGTGGTATTCCATTGTATAAATATACTACAACTTCTTTATCCAGTTATCTGTTGATGGACATTTAGGTTGTTTCTGTGTCTTGGCTATTGTAAACAGTTCCACCATTAACAGTGGGGTACATGTATCTTTTTGAACTAAGATTCTCTCTGGATATATACCCAGGAGTGGGATTGCTGGATCATACGTTAAGTCTATGGGAGGAAATATTTGCAAAAGATGAGACTGACAAGGGCTTAATTTCCAGAATATACAAACAGCTCATACGACTTATTAAGAAAAAAGCAGCCCAATCCAAAAATGGGCAGAAGACCTAAACAATCAATTCTCCAATGAAGACATACAAATGGCTTACAGGCACTAAAAAAAAAGCTAAATATTGCTAATTATCACAGAAATGGAAATCAAAACTACAATGAGGTATCATCTCACAACAGTCAGAATGGCCATTATTCAAAAGTGCACAGATGATAAATGCTGGAGTGGGCGTGGAGAAAAGGGAATCCTCCCACACTGTTGGTGGGAATGTGGTTTGGTGCAGCTGTTATGGAAAACAGTATGGAGATTCCTCAAAAGACTAAAAAAAAAGACCATATGATCCAGCAATACCTTTATAGGTATTTTTAATCACCAAAGTCCTATTGAAGTAAATTAACTGGACAGGTAGTTAGGAAGTTTTTGAAGAACAAAGGTCTACATACAACAATGTTATTAGAGAGTCAGCATTTCATGGCATCAATTTTTTTATCAATAAAGTTTTTAAAAGTCCATTATGTGATGAATTTCTGGCAATGAGATTAACCTGTGTACAATATTCATAAAGCACTCCAGAAATATCACAAAGAGCTTTCAGAAATGTTCATTTTACCCACCAATGTATACCAAAAATTACAGCTAATATTCTATTTCACATATGAGCAAGACAGAGGAGGACTGAAGAATGCAAGAACAGAGGACACTTTACTATTTTTTAAAAAAATTAAAAACAATTTTAATGGAGGTATTGGAGATTGAACCCAGGACCTCACGCATGCTAGGCATGTGCTCTACCACTGAACTATTCCCCACCCCTAAGAATACTTTTCTATTTATACTCCTTTTGGAAGAAAGTAATATGCAGATAATTCAGTTCCACTACCTGTAGTGTTTTTCTGCAAGGATGATTCTTCTTCAGGTCGGACAGCCTCGGTCACTACCCTCTTACTGTAGATCTCCTTTTCCTGGTTTTTCTCTGAGAGGTTCTCATCTGACGTGATGAGAACTTGAACTTGAGCATCTGGAATAATAACATCATTTGATCCCACGGAGAAGGAAAAGGTAGTAAACACCACAGACAAGTAATCTGCTCCACCCTACTCCCAAACAAAATACATTAGGAAAAAAAGCATCTCAGGCCTTACCACGTAAAAGCTGTGACAGTTTTGGGGGCTTTATAACATGTGACAGTTTTGGGGAGAGGCTGGAAAGTTTTCCATATTTCTTTGCATACAATGACTTTGCTGATTTGATGCAACAGTAAGCAAATAAAAAAATAAATAAAAAAACTTCAGATCAGGTTATCTTTTTCAAAGCAGAAAAGCAGATTTGAACAACTCTATAAAGTCCTTTCGCCTATTCAAAGTTTTTGTCACTTACAGAGCAAATTTCGTTATTAAATGTAATCTTAGAAAAGTATCTGTATCATCTAGATTTTATATATAGTACTCATGTAATTTTTTAAAATCTGAGATTGTATCCTTTTAAACTTATCTATACTTAGGTTTTTGTTTTTTTGGTCATACTTGTAAGAGATTTATCTACCTTATTGGTCTTTTAAAATCAGCTTTTTCTTTTTTATCACATGAAAAAACTCAAGTGCAAAATAATATGTTGGTAAATAAATTAAAAGTCACCAATACAACAACTAGAATACAGTCATTAAAGTTAATAATGTTTATACATTAGATTGACAAGAGATTCATTTCCTATCTCTAAGAACGAATATTTTTCAACAAAGCAATCAGAAAGGCAATAGAGGTGACTAAAAACAACATAATGAACAACAATGTATCTATCATAGAGCTTAATAAATAAAACATTATAGATATAACGATAATGATTCCCTGTGTAAAGCCTCAATAATACCATTCTCTCTTTTCAGTAACAAACTTAAACTGAATTTAGAGTCTGTCAACCTCCAGGACATTTTTGAAAAAAATTTTTTTTCAACTATATTGCATATTTTAATCAACAATGCACCAGATTGTTTTGCATGTCTTTAAACCTTACATAAAGGGTATAACACTACCTTAAGTAACGTGCCTTTTACACTCAGTATTATGACTTGGGAATTTACTCATAGTGACTCTGATTTTCAATGTTATGTAGTATCTATTGAATTAATGTATCAGTTCACCTACTGATCAGTTTTAGGCTATTTCTAATTTTTTTACAAACTGAAGTACAGTTAATTCACAAAGTTGTGTTAATTTCCGGTGTGCAGCATAGTGAGATAGATAGATAGACCTTTTCCTATTCTTTTTCACTATAGGTGATTACAAGATATTGAATACTGTTCCCTGCGCTATACAGTAGGACCTTGTTGTTTATATCTTTTATATATAGCAGTATCTGCAAATCTCAAACTCCCATTTTATCCCTTTCCACCCCTTTAACCTGCTGGTAACCAGAAGTTTGTTTTCTTTGTCTGAGTCTGTTTCTGGTTTGTAAATAAATTCATTTGTCTCCTTTTTTAGATTCCACATATATATAAGTAATATAGAGTATTTTTCTTTCTCTTTCTGGCTGACTTCACTTAGTATGACAATCTCCGGGTCCATCCATGTTGCTGCAAATGGTATTATTTGATTCTTTTTTTATGTTTGAGTAGTACATTTCTAATTGTTTCATATTAAGAAGCATTAAAATCAACATTATTGTAAAACATCTTTGTAGGTTGTATGAGTTACCAATCAGCTTCTCTGTCTTTGTCTTTGAATTGTTTGATGTCTTTTGGTGCAAAAAGTTTGTCATTTTAATACTATTACATTTATTTTCTTTTTCCTTCATGGTCTGTGTTTCATATGTCTTATTTAAGAAATCATTATTTCATGGTCAAAAGATGAACACCTAAATTCTAAAAGCTTGAAGTTTTCCTTTTTACATTTAATATCTCTGGACTACATTTTTGTTTAGTGTGCAGTAGGATCTATCTGGTTTTATGTTTTCTTATACATAAAATCAGTGGCCCAAACACAACTGAGCAGTTCCTCCTGTTCCCATGGATTACGATATCATCTCTGTCATATATTATGTTTCTGCATTCATAGGTGTTTCTGGGTCATAAACTTGTTTCACTTTCTCTGTTTATTCCTTTGCAAATAAGGTCTTAAATAAGTTATATATATATGTAGTAAATCTTCATGTCTGGTATGGCAAGTTCCCTTACCTTACTCTTTAAATATACTTCTTGATTTTCCATAAACAATTTAGAATCAGCTTACCAAGTTCCATGAAAAATCCTACTGGAATTTTGAGTAGTGATGCACTGAATTTAGAAGTTAATTTGGTGAGAACTGACATCTGTAATATATTATTTTTGTATAAATCTCCCATTATTTAGGTGCTCCTTAATATAGTTTAGTGAAGTTTTACCATTTTCTCTACATTATTCTTGCATGTCCTTTGTTAGATTCATTTTTAAGTACCTTATTTTTTGTTGTTTTTAAAAGAGGTATCTTTTTTTTTTTGATGGAGGTACTGGGGATTGAACGCAGGACCCTGTGCTTGCTGTTTGTGCTCCATCACCTAGCTGTTGTTTCCTTACCCCCAAAGAGGTATCTTTAAAAAAAAAACTCTTTTGCATTGTGTATCAGAAGGCATGTAATGATCAGAAGACAAGAAATGAACACAGAGCTCAGTGAATTGTCAAAAAGTGAACACGTACCCGGGTTAAAAAAAAAAAAATCTGGCTAGAAGCCTACATGCTCCTCTCATTCTTCCAATCTCTCCCAGGCTGAGCATCACACTCCATTTTAAATGCAACAAATTACTTTTACTTCTGAATTTTGTATAAATGGAATGAAACAGCACATTTTCTTTTATGTCTCGCTTTCTTCTCTTACATTATATTTGTAAGATTCATTAGGTGCTATAACATATATTTGTCCTTTACTCATTCTTATTTGCCGGTTAGTATTCAATAATGTTAATATGCCTCAATTTATCCACACTACTGGAAAAAATAATAGACATCTGGGTAATTTCCAGTTTGGAGCTGTAACAAAAACTGCTGTAAAGAGTATTCATGTGTGTCTACTGATGCTTGTGCACATCCTTCTCTGTGGAGTATAAAGTTAGGAACAGAACAGCTAGGTTATGCTTTAGTGTAACTTAGTAGATAATAGCAAATTGCTTTCCAAAATCACTCTACCAATTTATATTCTTACCAGCAGTGAATAAGTACTATTGTTCTATATTCTTACCAACATGGTATTATCTTTTTCATTTCAGCTATTCTAATAGGTATGCAGAGATACTGTCATTGCATTTCCCTACTGATGACTTAAGTTGAATATGCTGCATATGTTCATCAGCTATTAGATATTCTCTTTTATAAAGTACCTATTTTAAGTCTTTTGCCCTTTTTTCAAGTTGGATTGATTATCTTTTTCTCAATGATTTATATGAGTTCATTTTTATATTCTGGATGTAAGTCCTTTGTGAACTATGTATTGTGAATATCTTCTCCACTCTGTGCCTTGCCTTTCACTCTCTTATTTGGTGGAATACACTAACTTAATGTGACATATTTGTCAATATTTTCCTTTATGGCTATTATTTTGGGGCCATGGGGGAAGAAATCCAATTTAATAAGTCTTTTCTCATTTCAAGATTATAAGGACATACTCCTCTGTATTTCCTTACAGAAGATAGATCGACCTACCTACCTATCTAATCTAATCTATCTGTCTGTCTGTCTGTCTATCTATCTATCTATCCCTTTCACATTTAAATCTACAAAGTATATGGAATTGATGTTGGTATATAGTGTGAGGTAGCGGGTCAGTGATGCAAAGTTTGGAAGTAGACCAACAATGATAGAAATAGGAGGTCTCTGCAACAAGTGGGAGGTTACAGGGGTCCCTCAGGTAACAAAGCCTGATTTTATTTCAAATATAGCATCCTTACTAAATGTGGCCTAGAGGTGAGTTATAGCTGGTAAGTTCACTGCACAGACTTCTGACAGAGTTCCCTTAGTCTATCATTTTGTTCCCTGTCAGTTTTTCCATATCCACCCCATCTCAAGTGTCTGACAGTGGGACCCAATTGCCATTAGCACACAGCTAGTATATGAGAGTTTTCATGTATGACTTCTGCCTTTTGATTTCCTTGGCAGCCTCGATGTTAACTGGCAGATGTGCTTCTTTTCTCTCATTTCAAAAGGCACTTACAAGCAGACTTCAATGTGCTTTTCGGTGCAACAAAAAGTTATCTATACAAATAAATGTGTGCACTTTAATAAGCAGCCTTTCTTTTGGTTTCCTTATGACAGCATTAACACCATCACGTGAAGTCATTAGCACTATACCAAAACTGGAACGTAGAGCCACCCTGTGTCTGAATACTGTCCAGGGATTAGTAGCTCCTGTTTGGCTAACAGCTACGCACAGGAACAAAAAAAAAATGTAAATGCAACAAAGCAACACAGGCAATTATACATGCAGAATTTTCAGCGGCTCCTGGAATTTTCACTTAATACTACTGTATATCAACTAAAGAAGCACAATGTCAGTGACGCAGAGGAAAAAATCACACAGATCCCTAAAAATTTAAAGCTTTTATTGAACAGTGGGGCCTATACCTGGGGATAAGGTTGAAAACTCAAATATCCACAGTGGCCAGACAGACAAGGTGGATGCATGAAAAAGACTGGGTCTGAGTTGTGGGGACTGAAGCAAAGAGGAGAATGTATGTCCTCTACAGAGTATGGCCATGCCTCAGGAGCAGCTTATAACTGCACAAGGTGAGTACAAGCAGATATTCTGACTTTTCAACAGAAACCCAAAATCTTATTTTGAAATGTTGGCAGCAAAATTTTAAAACACCATGTGAGCCATACGCTTTCCTGGAGAATCCAGCCTATAAGATACTTGTTTACTTTATCTGACAGATAAATTCATGAGGCATTTTAATCAAGATTTTCTACGGATTTTAGTCTTTAAAACATACTTAATTGGATATCATTTCATTTCAAAAGTTGAAACATTTTCCATAGTGAAAATAGTTTACAGCTTTCAAAAATCTGTTAAACATTTTAAAAGATTTTATATTTTCTTCCCTAGAAAAATACCATATAAGATCGCTCATATCTGGAACCTAAAAAAAAACAACAAAATACAAAACAGAAATAGATTCATAGACATAGAATACAAACTTGTGGTTGCCAAGGGGGCAGGGGGTGGGAGAGGACAGACTGGGATTTCAAAATGTAGAACAGATAAACAAGATCATACTATATAGCACAGGGAAATATATACAAGATCTTATGGTAGCTCACAGCGAAAAAAAATAGTGACAATGAATATGTATATGTTCATGTATAACTGAAAAATTGTGCTCTACACTGGAATTTGACACAACATTGTTTGACACAACATTGTAAAATGACTATAACTCAATAAAAAAATGTTAAAAAAAGATTTTATATTTTCTTTCTTATGTACACCCAATAAAATAGCTAGGAGAAAAGTGCATAACAAAGTAGGGAAATAAAGACAGACTAGACAATATTTTCACATAGGATGTATGGGAAAAAAAAAGCCACAAAATACACAAAGCCAATCTACCTGCATGATCTTTCTGAAAGGGTTTTTTCCCCACTGACGAGGGTGCTTTAGAAACCACTCTCTTACTGTAGATCCCCTCTTTATGTTTAATGTTAACAGTGTCTGCCAGGTCATCATTCCTTGTGCCTAGCACCTGAGCCGGGAAGTCTGGAGCAATGGCATCATTAGATCCTACAGAAAAATGGGAAAGTAGTACAGTTAACACAAATATAGATATTAAGTTGAAAACAGACAAAAGATTTACCTCTTAAAACACTTCTATAAAAAAGGCACTGCAATGGGAGTGTTCCAGGGTGATCAGAAGGAAACATCAATCAAACTTAACCTGACAGAAACTTGCAAAATTGCACCAATACAGTGGAGAAGCAAATGATGTAAGAGGAGACATACAGAGCATTAGTTCAGAAAGGAAACAATTTTCAGCTGAGGAATGTTTTCAGAGGAGGAGAAAGTAGACTGTACCTTGGAAAGTAAATAGGCTTTTTGAAATACTGAAAGGAAGGGAGAAAGAAAGGCATTTTAGTTAGAGGTTATGGCATTAGCAAAGATAAAGAGGCAGGAAAACAAACAGTATACAAAAAGAGCAGACAGCTTTGTGGTCAGACTGGATTACAGATTTCATTACAAAGAGTGGTGGGGGATATTAAAAAATAATTGCTTGGGACAAAAATTCAGCAGGGCATGGAATCCCAAGCTAAAGAGTGAAAAGAGAGTAAATTTTATTGTACATGAAATGCAACATCATTAAGGATTTGTTAATAAAGGGAAAATGTAATCAGTTACATTTTTGGAAGATTAATCTGACAATACAAAACAAAACACTGTAAGGAAAATTTTATGTGATAAAGAAGTATGAGATTTGAAAGTAACTTTATTTTCTTTTAAAATATATTTCAATATTCTTATATCCACTGATATAGGAACTGATAAGAGAAGTTTATCCATGCCAGATGTAAGAGGCAAAAGAACATCTCTGGACACACAAGAGTTTGTGGAAACTATAGAATTATCTTCTACGAAAATGTTTTTTTCTTTCTTATCTGGTATTCTATACTCCATGTGTTTGCTAAGCACGTAAAATGTGTGTGGCAATAAAAGCTGGGTAAGTATCAGTTCATCAGTATAGTGCAAATATAAATAAGTCATGAAGAATTTTTCAGGACAAATTCAAGGATCCTCTTAATTAAGCCTTCTGGTCATATGTACACTGAGCTTTTTCTTAGCTTCTGTGGCCTCACTTTGTTTTATCAACTCCCTACCTCTCTGGTAAATGCTTAGTGTCCTTTCTTCTACCAAATCTCTCAATGATGGAGTTCTCAAGGGTCAGAACTCTCTTCCTGGATGAATTCTCGATGCATGGAACACTATCTATATGCTGATGATCAACAAAGTGTATATCTCTAGCTGGAATCTTTCTTCTGAGCTTCGAATTCTAGCATTCAAGACACAGCTAGCCTCTATAGCATTTTGGGAAGAAATGAGAAAAAGAGGTCTCTTTCTCATAAAAAATTAAGTTTTTATATATTATGGTACAACACAAACAACTGTGCATGAAGGTCTATTCACCACCACCCTTTGTTCTCCAAGAAAGGGGACTTTGTCAGGTTCAGAGTTAGGTGGGGAAGAATAATTAAGTTCCCGAGGGCAGTGGGTGGACGTGCAAGAGAATCAACCTTGGAGCTGAGAGGCAGTGGAAAGGGAGTGTAGTCACATATATGTGTTTACACCAATGAGTGTATGTGTACTTATTTAACTGTATCTGTGCAGGGCTGTAGGATGTGTAAGTGTAGATTTATATTTGGGGGAGGAAGAGAGGTAAAATTACTGCTCCAGAACTCTAACAGCAGATTTGGAACCTTCATACCCACCTGTGTGTTTTCATAAAAAACAGCATGTTTATGATGTGAACAGTGACACCTTCTATTTGGGGCCCTTCAGTACAACCTCATCATCTGTAAACAGAACCTGTCTACATTCAGTTGCAGATTTAACAACTCTAGATGGACCAGGAATAGAAATCTCATTTTTAACATGTCTGAAGCAGATACTTTGACCATCTTCCCCAAATCTGCTTCTTTCTTAGACTTCTCCATCTCAGTAAAAAGCACCTTTATTTGCCCAGTTGCTTACTCTAGAAAACTGGAAAAAACTAAAAAAAAAAACAAAGAAAAATTGTTTTCACCTCCTTCTCTCTCATTCTCTGTAGTCTAGCACCAAGCCCTGGAGGAACTATTTCTCAAAAATAAGATGTGTCCACTTCTCTCCATCTCTATCATCATCACTCTAATCCTAGATGCTACCATCTCTGATACTGACCACTGCAAAAGCCTTTAACTAATGTCCTCACTTGCACTTCTTAACTTCCCTCCCACCTAGGTCCCCTGCCTTTCTATCCACAAGCCATTCTCCAGATAGCAGCCCCAATAAAATTTACAAATGTAAATCAACCACAGTTGCCTACTAGAATAAAATTCAAACGCCTTACTATGGTTGACGCAACCCTGCATGATCTTGAACCTACCTAGCTTTAATCATATCTAGCCATCACTCTGCTCTATCCACACTGCCTTTTCTCATCTGTCAAATGTACTCAACTTTTCTGTTTCTGGAGCTCTGCGCAGAGGTTCCCTCTGACCAGAGGTTCCCTCTGACCACAACACTCTCACTCCCCCACCCTTCCCGCCTAACATACTTATATCCTCTAATTCTCAGCTTAAAAGTTTCTTCTTTGGAAAGGTCTTTATGAGCTCCTAAAACTAAACTGGATCCTCTAATTCTCTTAGAACTCTATTTTCTTGACATATCATTTGTAATGATATACTTATTTGTGTCTATTTGCTTAATATCCGTCTCCCTACCTGAACATGATTGTAGGGAACATGTTTTATTTTGTATACCCCTACACACGTAGCGCCTAGGATAGTCTCTGCCAGGAACAAGTAAGAGCTTTATTATTTCTTGGTTGAAGAAACAAATGAACATGAGCTGAAAATTTGTCACTTAAAAAAAATCAATCTGATAATTGTAAAAATTCAGAAAAATATGCAAAAAACAACAACAAAAAAACCCCCAAATCTGGCCAAACTTGTTATACATCGTTCTAAATGAACATATAGTGAGATCACAACATATGAACTTATTTACAAACTGGAAATAGACTCACAGACATAAAAAGCAAACTTAATGTTACCAGGGGGCTATAGGGGTGGGGAGGGATAAATTGAGAGTTTGGGATTTGTAGATACTAACTACTATATATAAAATAGATAAATGACAAGGTCCTACTGTATAACATACGAACTATTATATTCAATATCTTATAATAGCCTATAATGAAAAAGAACATGAAAAGAAATATACACACACACATACATATATGAATCACTATACTATACACCAGAAATGATCAAAACATTGTAAATCAACTGTACTTCAACAAAAAAAACAAAAATACATACCTGTATTTTTATTTATTAAACTGTTAGATCAAAAGTAAGTATTTTTATGTCCTAATAACTTAGTATGTGTTTGAAAAAATACTTCATGTATTTATATATATTCCAAGCAATGATGAGAAAGACTATCATTGAAACACTAAGGGTACTGTGAACAGAGGAAACTTGGAAACTTTTGTCTTAGATGGAGTCCACTAACCCAAACAAATAATTGTTCATATAGTTTTCTTCAAATATTTATTAAATGTTTGAGTGTACATTGTACATCTAAACAAATGAACCACAGACTGAGTCATAAAAAATTCCATATTTCACTGAAAGATTAAATAGCACTGAGCTTTCACATGTTATTCCAGAATTAACCAGCCAATCTACAAATAAAATTTCACAAAATAAAATTTTGAACAATTTCTGCATAATACCTGAGTGTGAGCTCTCAATGGTGGTGTCTGATTTGGAATCCAGAGACAAAGAAGGAATTTCTTTCAATTGTGGAACATAGTACATCTTCATAGTACCAGAAGGCTTATATGGCAACAGTGAAGGTTGGTCTAAAGAGATAAAAATCAAAACAATTAATAAGAAAACCTTTATTAATTCACTGAACAAATATTAAGTACCTTTATTGTGCAAAGCAGTTTTTAAGATTCTTGGGAAGTTTTCAAGAATCTTGGGATGTATCAGTGAACTAAACAGAAAAGTATCTATGCCTTCAAGAGCACTAGCATTCTAGAGGGAGATACACAGTAAACAACATACTAAATAAGAAAATTATCTAGTATTTCAATAAGTTACAAGTAATATTAAAAAATTAGAAAATGCTGAGGAAGATTAGAAATACAGAGGACATTGCAGCAGGATGCAACTTAAATAAATAAAGTGATAAGGGTCGCTTTTATTAAGAAGATGAGGTTTTAGCAGTCTGTTACATATACAACTGGCTCTCTAACTAAGAAACAATTTATCTTATATTGAACCCAAACTTGGTCACTGTTAACCCTTACTACTGGTCTTTGGAGGTCCTGCCTCCAGAGTCACAGAAAATAAATCTAATTCTCTTCTTTGTGGTAGATTTTAAAACTAAGTTTTCCATTATAAAAGTATAAATTCCCAATATTAAGAAAATATATAGAAGTAAAAAAGACAAATTCCTACCCCTCAAAGATAACCATTGTTAACATTTTAATGTATTTCCTATATATCATTCTTCTGTTTATTTGTTTACATATTTGTATATAGTATGTATCATTTAGAATTTAGCTTTTCTGCTTTACATTGACAATAAAATATTTATTTTCCATCTTAACATTTTTTTACAGTTATACTACAGATTAAGTGTATTTAACTCTTCTAATGTTAAAAA